ATATCACTCCTTTGCCTTTTTTACTTCAGTAGGGTACCTTTTTCAATAGTAATATCAGTTTAGGTTAATTTCTAACAAAATTTCAGATAAACAAAAGTCTTTTCTAGGATGGTGAATTCTATAGGACAGCTTTTGTCAGGCATTTGATAGGAACAGGCAAAGATAGAAAAGGGGGATTGATGACTCTGATTTGGTCTTTAAAATGGAATCCAATGCTTTTCATGAAAAGGCAACCTCATTTTAGGGTCTAGATCCCTTATGTCTCTTACAAGAATGAGAGACTATCAGTTAAATAAGAAATAGATAAAGTAACTGCAAATTTCAAAATTTAATTTTCATTTGCACCGAATACATATCTATACTCTATTAGTATGTAATTATTTTTTCGATTTTCATTTATCTGATATTTGTCCTACAAGAACTGTTATATGCCATTGATGTGTGCAGGCAAAATATAATGCCATGTTAGGTTGATTGGTATAGGGTATGTTGAATGATTGTGCACATCTAGAATTGGGAAAACATGTTGGGCCCGGTCTTTGGGACCTATATAACTCACTCCCTAACTCTCTTCCACCGGTCTTTGGAAAGTATGCATTTTCGACTATGTTAAGATATCAATGCTAACAATCAATATGGGTGGTTGGCCATTTTGGTGTAGCACCATGAAGCTTCTTAGGAGGTCTTGGAAAATGGTTTTGAGATCATTGTCATATCTCAATATATGACTGGACTCTTTTTTCTCTTTTCTTTTCTGTTTTTTTCCTTCTTCTTTTTTTGGTTGATGTATTACCTTTAGCAATCTCATTCTTTTTGGTTTTCTCCTTAATTTTCTCTTCAATGCAATGTTCCAATCACAAGCATCCTTTTAGGATGTGACACAAAAAAGTGAAACTCACCATTTAAAAATAACATTTTGATTTAGTTTTCTTTTCCTTCTAAATCTTCAAATTTCAGAATTTATCACCAACTTGGTTTGGGAAATGAAATCAAAGCTAGAAAATCAGAGAAGTTGGGGGACTTGGTGGCTTACATCCACCATTTGGGGACATTGATTGTCAGCATCTATACAAAAGTCCTAGTCTAGTTTTCATATCTCTTTTCTTCTCCAACCAGAGCATTTTTTATGCAAAGTTGATCTTACAACCCATGCATTTTTTTAGATTATTGAACATGCAAGTTGAATTGGTCTGATAGGCACTCCAATTTACTTAATTGTTGATTTGTGATGGGGTTTAATGTGTTATCTGTGTGTTGGTGTGTAGGTTGATTATGTAATCATCATTGGCTCCTATTTCTTATTATCTACCAGTAATATAGTTCGAATTTGCATTTTTTTTTCTTTTTTCATTTCAGTTTTTTAATTTTCATGACTCCGAGTGCTGAGAAGTGCAAATAGGATTACTGGATTATGTGGAACATCTGTATCTGGGTATCTACCGTAAGAGTCTCACGTCAGTTTTGTCTTAAGGGTGCAATTCTGGGTTCTGTGGTTTTGTTTTGTTTTTATTTGATTTTCTCTGTCTAGGTTGGTTTTGTATTTCAGAGCTCATGCTTTTGCAAATGGATTTCCCTTGTGAAGTTTTGTCATTCTTTTAACAATTTTTTCTTCATGAATTGTTTGTGTTAGTGAAATAGATTTTCTTCTAAACTAAGAAATGAAAAATAGATAAAAGACCTAAAAATTAGGATACGGGTACAACCAACATACATTTGTAAAATATATATATAATTTTTAGTATTGTATTATATATAAACTCAAACCATTTTTGAGCCAATGGCCAACCACTTTATGCTTTTTTAGTAGGTCCTACACAAATTTCATTTCAATATCAAATCTACATTGTTTTTATTGTCCTTGTACATTTTGTTTTTATTCTTTATATGTCATATGCAATAGTGTTGTACACAAGTTTACTTGCTTGTTTAACTCCAATTTTAGTGTGAAACAAATAATAAATAAACAAAAATATAAAATTTCTGAAACCTCAATTGCATCAGAAATTTCGAGAATTGCTGATAATTCCCCACCTACAACTTTGAGTGTAAAGTCCATGTTTTTCTGTGGCAGAATCATAGGGGGAATTGTAGTATCAAAAATCAAGTGCATAGTAATTTTTCAAAATTTTATATAATTCTTATTATGATGACATGATAAATATATGAATATTTGCACAAATTTGCGTGATTTATCATGAAGATGACTTCCAAAATGTTGGAAACTAGACTAACATTCCAATAAACCTAGATGAAAATATATACGAAAAAATATTAAAGTGGCATCTTATGGTAAAATTCCAATAACCGAACATTCTTTACTTTATATCATGTTATCCAATTTTTTAGTCACCTATTATTCTTCAAAGAGAGTGAAAGAGAACACATTGATTATCTATAAAATAAGTATTAGAAGTACTATACACACAATAAATAAATAAAAAGTGAAAATAAAATAAATTTGATAGTAGTTTTGTAATAGTTTTGCTACTAGGAAAAAGTTTTATTGATATGAGAAATAAGTTGAAGATCACCTATATAGGTAATCCAATGTCGACTCTAGTTTTAACATCAAGTATGATACTTTCCATCCCATTGCATTTTCAATTCCATCGTGATTCCCTTAGCATCGCCTTCAATAATTGGAACCCCTAAAAAGATCAACAATTTTCTATCAATACCTTAAAAAAGATTAAAAATAAAATAAAATTGATGGTCCAAATAAATTTAAATCATTTCCTTCAATTCTTGTGTCTATTCTTGAAGATGATTGGCTCTACCTCTAGCCATAATAATTCCATAAAGTGAAAAATAAAAAATATATATATTTTTAAAGATTAAAGAAACAGAAGTTGTGGAGTGAATTATGACTTGCTAATGTGCAATAACTTTAGACCAATCCAATCTGATAGGCCATTATTTTCTCATTTGATTTTCTCA